TCTTGAGGTTAGGATGTCAATGGATCCGCGAAGGATCGCTCGCGAAGAGCTGACAGTTCACATTCTGTCCATTGATCATGTCCCCTCTTGAGTCTGCTCATTTTCTGTCTTCGTTTGATCTGTTTTGTCTAGTCCTCTCACCCCATGCCTTGTGCAGGACTAGTAAAATATGTCCGCTTGCCGCTGATCACGGGAATGAGAGTGTTCACTCGAATGGGCATGCTCTGAAGTTGCAGAACACATTGAACTGGCGAACTGGTTTTGTCGACATTGGCATGCTGTAGTGCGACACGAGGGAGAGTTGAAATCATTTAAGACCAGGTATATCCGGGCTTAATCAAGATGTCAGGAATCTTGTGATGAAAACAATTGCCGCATGCAAGATTTGGTAGTGTTCTAGAAGTTTGTTGTTCTTGGGCTTCTCTTAGCCAGTTGCTTTCTGAGGTTTCGCTGGCGGAGGCATGGTTGAAGGTTTCGTTGCTCGTAGGTCTATATTGATGTAACACACCGCCTTTCGAAGACGTCGCCATGGCTGGAAATATGTGTACATGCCCAGCCACATATTCCAGAGGTTCATGCCCTCATAGATTAATTGCTTTGTTTTCTTCGTGACTGTGGTGTTGCACGCACCTTTGAGCCCGTGCAACAAAGGCCATGAATTCTTTGTGATCCTGTATGTCGCATTCTGCCGAACATTCAAGCAGATTCCCATACAGTCATACAAAACGCTTTGCTCATGCATGCGCACACACCCACACACCCACACCCACGCACTCTTGCTGAAATTGTGACCAATGACGCAATTCAAGATTACATCAGCATGGACCCCTACACAGTTGGCATCAACAAGATTTACCCGATTTCTTGTTTGTGTCAATGTGGATGGCAACGCTGGATATATAGCTTCATATCCTCAGCTCCCTTGGGCCCCTCCAAACAACACAAGAAAGCATTGGAATAACACTAGAGGTTAAAGGCATAGGAGGACAACTGGAAACACGAGACAAGACCAGCATGGGCTGTGGCCAGCCTCCTGAGGGAGAATCCCAAACTAAGTTAACTACGTACTTGGACCTGAAGAGCTGGTGTGAGATAACGCAGTGGCGTTAAACACATTTCAACACCATGCCAAAGTTCGGTGGCGAGTCGGTGGCAGAATCTGCAACATCCTTCAGATTCGTTGCAGATTCGTTGTGCGTCTGCAGGTGCGTCTGGAGGTCCAGGATAGATATTGCGTAAGGTTATGTACAGCCTTACAGTGCCTTACAGCGGCCATGCCACGCTGAGCCCCTGCTACCGAAGTGCAAACGCAAACGTTTGAATCCATGGACGTGCACGTCTTAGACATAGAGTGTGAGACATAAGGAGCTGATCTTTGTCCAGGCATATACTTGTTCTTCCGCGTTGGTTCCATGGGGTTCAGTGCTCGGCTTTGGTCGGCTTTTTTGAGTGTTTGATCTCGCGTGGGTGTCTCACTAGTCCTAGGTGTCGCTCTCTGTGTTGTTCTGAGGTATGGTCCGAGCTTTCGACCAATCCAAGAGGGTTACAGACAGGGACGCTCTTATCAAGCCGAACAAGGCCGACTGATGAGATGATGTGAGAGTAGGTTTCTATGTTTTGGCCTCTCAAAAATTCAATCTCTGAAGGTGACCCACCAGTGGCACTTGCTGTCCTGCGGGATGAGACCGTTGAAGAATGGGAGCGCGTGGCCCTGTTGCAGGCAAGTGTTGCCAATCATGTCTTGTGATTCTGTTCGTCCATGAATCCTCAGGCACACGCTGGGGTGCTGGATGGCGCTTTGCAACCCGCAAGATACATTGCAAATGTACTGTATGCAAATTTGCCAATAGAAACAACATATGTAAACCGAATGCTTTTCACATTCTTGCTAACATCATTCAAGGCAAACGACCGCGCTATATCATGGCCACGTCCAAGAAGTCATCGATGCACCTTTGCTGCCTTTGCCAGACAAGTAAGAAGTATATAGTTGATTCCTCGTCAAGGGTTTGTTGACCGCTAAGGCTGTGGAACGCCACCATAAACAGGTTAAGCTTGAGGCCAGCAGTGAGCAGCCTGTGGAGAAGTGCAACCTCCAAACTCAAGAAACTCAAGTTGGAGAGTTCATAAGTGCGAGGCATCATAGAGCCATCCTGTCGCTGAGACTTTGCGAAGTAAGCTGGCTCTCAGAACTTGGTTGAATAATGTTGAAGAAGATGGACAGACCAAGCATGCTTCTGAGTGAAGGAGTACTGCACCAATTGTACCGTCATCAAACCTTTTTGTCTTGCTGCCGCCGTTTTACAGTGTCATTCCGTCCTGAAATGAAATGAGATCCTTCCGAATCATTTCTTCCCGGAAGTCCGAAAGTGCTCTTGTTGGCATCCATGGTCGATCTGCATTGTCAGTTGAGACGGATGAAAACAGATTGGAGATTCAATCTGCACCTGCTGTGGTGACGCTGGATTTCTCAGATATGCAGGAAATCTGTCGAGGCTTCAAAGCCGATGTAGAGATGTCTCGTTCTTCGAGCGACAGCGTGCTGCAGGACCGCAGCTTGCTAGAGTCATGGTCTGCCGGTCATGATGCTGGTGGCATTGCGCCGAGCGGTGCACGCAGTGCACGGCAGAGCGGTTTACAATTTAATGCGTTCGCTCTGTCGCGAGCAATCCGCAAGAAATGGCGCCAAAGAACGATTCGCAGCGTGCTATTACGCATAGATTCAATCCCAGAACAAGTAGAGGGCATGCTCTCACAGACAGCTAGTGATTTGAGTATGCAGGTGGACGGGGGTGTTGTTTTAATGCAAGACCGTTTGCGTGAGGCCTCTCGTGGAGAGCAGGTGGCAGAGACTCTGGAAACTCTCGAGATGCTTCCCAGGCACTTTGCCACATCCGTAGAGGCCAACTTGATGGACGCAGCTGCTGTTTTGCGTCAGACGGTTTCCAGTGTGACTGCAGAACTTGGTGCTAGAGATTTCGAGGGCGAAGATATTGTGCAAGAGATTCAAGTGATTCCCCAAAAGGTTCGAGAAATTGCCGATGAAGCGATCTCACGTGCTGTAAACGCATCTGTAGAGGAATTGCACCAGCAGCTTGATGCCGCGCTGGGATTTGGCCCAGGCTCGAGTGCTGTGCGTGAGAAGGAGCTGTTGCAACAAAAGCTGCTGGAGCAGCTTCCAGTGGTTGTAGAGAAGAAGATCACAGCTACTGGTGAAGTGGCAGAGGACAAGATTGTCGATGCCGTTGCAGATTTGAAAAGTGAATTTGTTCCGAATCATTGGATCATGGATGCCCTGTTGAGAGCCAAGTCTGATGGAATGCCTTCGGACGTTACGGAGGCTCCGGAGGCTCCGGAGGTCGCAGAAGACGCGGAAGATGCGGCAGTGGTGCCAGACGTGCCACACGAGATAGGCAGCAGGAAGCTATGCATCCAGACGCACCTTGCATCGCAAGATGATGGTGATAAAATGGACGAGATTGAACATAGCAGAGCTGATCAGACGATGCGAATGGACATGAATCCAGGCAGTTTCGGACTTAGCTTTTTGCAAAGCACTTTTCAGATGTTCAATCACATTTCAGCTTTCCCAGAATGTGCACTGTGCCATACTAGTACTGTGCCAAGGCTTTGGACATCCTGAAATGTGCACGAGACCGTGCTTGTTCTTTGCAGCAGGTGAGTGCCAAAGCAGACAGAACTGTGATTTTTGCCACCTGCCGCACACTCGACGGCCTACCCATTTGGACAAGCGGAACCGTGAGCTCTTGCGAAGTCTATCAAGTGATGAACAGGTCGCCACAATCCTCCCGATTTTATTTGAAAAGTTGAAGAAGCACAACCCATCGAGCTTGCAACTGCTTGTAGAGCTAGAAAGTCTTACAAGTTCAGGTGCGCTGGAAGCCATGAGTACCACTTCTGTTGGAAGCCAGGGAAGCCAAAAGCAACTTGCACGAGGAGAGCGGTCTCTGAAAAGTGCTTTGCGCGCAGTGACTTTACGATCTTTGCTTACAATGCTCCTGCGTATGCTTCCTCGTGATCACTTGAAGCAACGCCATGTGATTGAGGCACTGATTCAAAGCCTCAGAGAACCCTGAAGAACTTGCTTTCACCCAATCTATCCAAAGCGGAATGTCACCTGGCATCCGGCCAATTTGACGCGAATGATTTGACTCCACAGTTTCACCGAGACCAGAAAAATTATTGGCTAGAGCCAACAGTCCTAGCGTTGCAGCAAAAGGAGAGCTGTAATTAGTCTGGAGGTCAGGTACTCTCAAAACTATTCAAGACTTTGCGTGGCTTGTATATATAGTGGTTTAAGTTAAATTTTAAATATAAACACACTAATATACTGTATATATACACATATGGGTGCTCGCTGATCAGGGCCCCCCCCTGGGAGTACCATTAACATACTAACACACGGACTGAAAACCAGTTGTTTGCAACATACAGCCAGAAAACCAAAACAAAAAGACAATGATCTGGAAACTATGCCCAATCCTGAAGCCAGAAAACCAAAACAAACAAGAAACACCAAAAAACAACGAGTTGGACACTATGTTCATCCTACAAAGGTTTGGGGTAGTTTGGACAACATTGTTTTTTTTGTTTGTTATTTTTGGTTTGAGCCTCACATATGTTAGGACTAGTTGGGAAAACAGTGCTTTTTGTTTGAGAAGTAGTTTATAAACACCGTTTATTAACACAACAAATGTTTATAAACATTGTCTTCTGATGCAGCAGCCGTAGCGCGTCAACTCATCCTTGCACCAATGTCGTTTGCCTTCGAAGCGCTGTGTAAAGAATCTGGGTCCATGCAGTTGACAAAGCTGAACCACATCCATGCACAGAATTGTTTACAACTACAATTACATCTACAACAACAAGGCACTATATTGTCCAGTGAGTGAGACTCAAGGTTTGAAACTCTCTGACAAGTTGAATTATTCATAACATTTCAGCCTTTTATACCTATGAAATCCACACCCACAATAATTGCAATAATTGTTGATATTATCCAAGAGCCACTGAACACTCACATATCCTTCTTTTGGTACTTTTCTTTTGGCTGTTGTATCCTGCATTTTGTAGTTGTTCCATCAAAATAGCTTATAATGCACTTTGTATTAAAATCATCATTGGTACCTTTTTTGTACCTCATAAATAAAGCCTTGCCTTATACAAAAAGGCTGTCCAATTCCATTCAGGATAATGTTTTACAAGACAATTGCTAGAATCAAGTATTGCAATATGATGCGACCACCTTAAGCAGAACGGCAAGTTGAACACCAAGCAAGAATGAAACTAGTTTTTCGTTGTCAGTCTCTTGTCATTGAACCATATTTGCCTTCACATTCTTCAGGGTAATAATGTCATTATCAATACGAAAAATGTGTTTGACATTTACATTGAACACGCATGTTTGTGATTTGGTTTTCTCCCTGCATACTAAGAATTCACCTACTTCATATTCATGTTTTTCTGCTTTCCAGTTTCAAAACCTCACTTGAAACATTTTTACAGGTCGTAAAAAACTATGCTATGTTGTATGTGGACGACGTAATATCATAGTATATCTAGCGTATTTCTCAATCAGTTTAGCTGTTGGTATTTACAAATATATAATTGCGGAGTGCGAAGTAAAAACAAAGCTACCAAAGCAAGCGGTCGCGGCCGAAGCAAATGTTTTCTAACATGCGAGCCAGCGCTGACTGCGGATGCGTCAGCGGTCTCAAGTCAAAGCCACCACATGGCAAAAACGTGCACCGACCACCATTTCTCACATCCCTAGAAAAGGGTGTTGACATGTGGTCGAATTAACGGCCGGCGCTGCCAGCTTTGGCTCGGCCAAACTTGACCTTCCGGCGCTGCCGTTGGTCTTTGCGAAGGCGCTGCCTATGCTCCTCCAATCGCCTTTCTGCGTCAGTCTGCTTTAGTGACAGGCGATGGTTCTGGCAGAAGCTCTCCCAAAGCATCCCTTTCATGCGCTTCGTGAGCACATCTGCCTGCTGCTGATGGGTCGGAACCCAGAACAGTTGGTATGCCTTTTGTTCCAACATGTCCTTGGCCACGAGGAGGTCAAGCATAGTCTGCCTCTCACTTGGTACGTGGCCTGTCGTGTGGACATGGTCGTAAAGACTCTTGGCGTCTGTGACCAGGCCGCCTTCATGGCGAAGCTTGGACCTCCAGTCCGCTGAGAGTGAGGTGGTATCACCGAACCACAACATGTCCAGTAGCGCCCTCAAATAGAGGTGCTTGTCCACTGCCAGGGACATGCTGTTGCTCTCTGCCGCCATTGAGCTTCTCACCACCCTGGTGCTTCGGGAGGTGTGGAATTCCAGCGGGGCTGCCAGCTGTGGTCACTCCATCTGTCGTGAGGAAGTGTATCGATCCCAGCTGGGACCGACCATCGGTCTCCTTTCCCAAGGAGGCGTCGAAGAAGCTCAAAACATACGGCCTCCCACGATTAATGGGATAGCGCAGCTTGGCTCTGCCAGCTTTCTCTTCTTCCAGGAAGTTCTGGTGTAGCTTCACAGCTTCCTGAAAGTCCTTGTAGGTGGCCTGGTTGACTCTCTGAGCCAAGGAGCTGATCTCATACAGCTTGTGAGGCGTTGCCAACTGAGCCGGCCATCGAAGTCGCATAGTCAATTGGCGGTATTGTGTCACGCCCTGCGTGTCCAAAGGTTCCGGCTTCTTCTTCTGCATCTCAGGGACCTTGATGTTCCGAATGTAGGCTCCCATGTTGTCGCAGAGGCCCCCTTTCTCAGCCTTCTCCAGATCTACTCCCAAAAAGGTCAAGGGAGTCTCCTTCCACTCCTTGATCTTGAAGAGCTTGTTCAGCTGTGCCTTCAACTTGACAAATCGACTGTCATTTGGATCTCCCAAAAGGAGTCCATCGTCGACGTGGAGGCACAGGATCGCCCAGCTGATGCCGCCTTCACTGGCCGCAAATGTGGCCTTGGCAATCGGGAGCTCTTTCAGCGGCGTCTGGCTAATCAGTTGCACCGTTCGAAGGTACCAAAGCCTCGGAGCTTCCGTTAGGCCATATGCGCTCTTGAGGATGCGCAGAAGCTCAAAGGGCAAGATGGCACTCCAGCCCTCCGCGGCTGGCAAGCCCTCAGCTGGAGCCTTCACGTAGATCTGACGATCTGTCTCCAGGCCCGACAAAAATGCCG